CAACTGGAAAGTTTATTCCTACTAATAGTTATTACACAAATATACATTTACACACATTATGCAGTTAAAGATAAAGTGTAAAGGCATAAAAGCTGTCACACAGAAACATGTGAGCTATGTACTAAGGTAGCCAGAAACTAATGGAGACAGCACTTTGTCCAAGCTGGTCAGCAGCTACAACTGGATAAGGAGATATGCAGCCGTCCTGTAAGCTCTGCTGTCAGAAGCAAAAGGTTTTAGAAATGCACTATATCCATGCAAAATTCAGAATGCTACACCCTCATTAGTCCACTAGCTACTGCATAAAATTAATGTTGTAGCATATAAATATTCTCTTCTCCTGGCAGTCCAAACACTAAGTATAGGGAGTAAGTGCTTTCATATACAGAGTAAGGAAGCTTATCTTATGGTCTATGCACTGTTGTAAGAAAAGAATCTTTAGGAAGAATTTGCTCCTTTAATGGAAAAATAGACAACAAGATGCTGTGGAAGACGTGTTTGATCACTCCCAGAATTCACAATCAAATTATTGACCTTTGGAGTGCACTTTGATGTCAGAGTGTGTCCTGACTACAATTCTTACCTCCCTCACTGATCTTCATAGGTTTTTCATACAATTATACTTCTTCTTAGAATAGCGAATACCCTGATCCGTCTAAATTGCAATATAAATGGGTTATCCTCATCTTCATCCAGATGGTGCAAGAACATTTAAAATATTAAAGCATAATCATGATTTTCTTGCAGAAAAGGGTAGCCCTTATTTGGTCCAAACTGCCTAACGCAAAACCTGCTTCCTCCTATCACTTACATTTTCCTTTATTCTGTACCGAATTCTCTTCTCTGTTTGGCTTGTCTTACAAAAGGTTAAGATGGAAGCCTAATTCATGCAAGAATGGCTCATCTCAGCGAGACATGCAGCCTCCTCCCTTTCCCATCCCAACTCAGCATGCAGTAGCAACGAAGGCACAAATAGCCTATGGTTAAAAAACCGGCTGGCACTTGGGGCGCTGAAAACACAGACAGTGGCAGCGCCAGCAGTGGCGGGCAGGGTTATTTGTGAGCTGTAAACAGAACATCACCAGAACTACCTCCTGGGGCTGCATCCAGCCACGCCTGCACTGCATCATGGCGTAGGGAATGAAGGTCAGATGCTGAATTAAAAATAAAAATAAAATGATAATAAATTCCAAAACACAGAAAACAAACACTTGGAAATGAAAATGAACAAACACACAAGAAAAGAAATTAAGACCAATGATACAATGAATAGGGGAAAGATGAATTTCAGAAGGGCTCCCAAAGACGGGAGAAAGAAGAACGAATCATGAATTCCTACAACTAGATACCTACTGCAGTGGCTTTTCCTACCCTCTCTATATCTAATATATAATTGGTCCAGGTCAAGCAAATCTCATTTGGACTCTTGCAAACTAGTTTTATCATGTGTCTATTCAAATCAGAAAATCTCTCTCCTGTCACAATTATTCTGCCCCCACCTCCAACTAGAGATGGGGAACTTGGGGCTCTCCAAGGGTTTTTTAGCTGCAACTCCCATGAACCCTCATCACTGGTTATGCTGTTTAGGACTGACAGAGGTTAATGCCCAACAACATCTCATGGGCCACACCAGGGGTAGGCAACCTTTCCCCTTTAAGGGCCGAGGGACTTCAACTCCCAGAATCCCAGGAGCTATTGGCCAACATGGGACTATTGGCCAACATGGCTGAGGCTTCTGGGAGCTGAAGTCCCTCGGCCCTTAAAGGGGAAAGGTGGCCTACCCCTGGGCCACACACTTGCCACTGCTACTCTAAGTGGTTGTGCTGATTCCTTGATTCTCAGTATTTGAAATGCTGTACATATCCTAAGACAGTGATCCCCAAACTCAGGTCCTCCAGGTATTTTTGGATTTCAGCACCCAGAAGACTCAAGTCATCTTGGCCAATTATCTGAGATTCTGGGAGATGAAGTCCAAAATACCTGGAAGGCCAGAGTTTGGGAATCACTATCCTAGGTCTTAATGTCCTTAACAGCAAATGCTCTTTGGTTCTTTGTCTCTCCTGCTAAAGCCATCTTATGGATGCCTTTTTCCTATCGTGTTCACTCTTCTACCTTAAAGCACAACC